AAATTAAACTCTTCGTACGTAAACAACGGGTGGACTTGCAGATTGTTTATTATACAGTTTAATTACCTGGACAAACATGAGCATTAACAGTAATACCACTTAATCAATGACAACTTCCTGTAGTCTGCGACCAAATGTACACACAGAAGCGCCATAAAGTCTTTACCGCATAAACAGTTGGCCACTGAAAGATTGGTATGATGGAGGGCGCTGTTTCATTAACGCAACAAAAGGGCTGGCGATAAGGTTTTGGGGGCGGGGGGGTAAATCTTGTAGTAACGCAAGTTTTTTTGTTTTTTTTTTCCCAAATAATTCGGATATGTACGGTCTTTTGCCCTTGTGAAATGAGTCGGGAGCTGTCGACTTGTGTGTGGGAGATTTTTTGGCAAACATTCAACACTTTTGACAGCATCCGTTCACATTATACAGCTTTAACAAGGCAGCGGTAGCGATCACCCGAGAAAGCCGGAACATTCCAAAGCAGCTCCGACTTGGCGGGCCACTGCATTACACACACACACACACAATTCACAGATTAGGTTGAGTGGTCTCAAGAAACACTGAAACAAAACTTCAAAAAGGTAGGTACTACAAATCAAGACTTTTGTTATTTTCGAGCAAGGTGACAGCACTTGGGGGACCATTTTGGAAAATCATGGCTGAGGCTGTGTGGAATCTTCAGGCTTAACGTCAGCGGTGTGTGTGGACCCAGGTTGTACGTCATCAGCAAGTAAGGAGCATGCTTTGTGTGTGAGAAAGATTACACTAAACCATGTACACTAGTCAACATTATTCACTTATTTTTTTATTTTTAACGCTAGACTGACCGCTGTTTGTCAGAGTAAACAGCCGAAACTGAGGTCTGAGTCAAGTTTTGGCCTGAGGCTTTGCTGAGCACTACTGTCCATTAAACACAAAAAGATACCCCAACTCCAGCATCTCTTATGGGCACCATAGAACTGAGGAGGGTGCGAAGTGTGTGTGTCGGGTGTGTCTCCGTGACAGGAGAGAAATGTGCATGTGTGTGTCAAGTCTTGAATAATGATGTAACAGTGGAGCTGGAGGAATGATGCATGTAAAAACGCATCAACGTCTTCTCTATTGGTGTGCACACTGCACCCCCGGGCCGTGATGGCCGCCCTCCTCATCGGAGCTGTCATTGTAGGCTTCTCTCCTGGCACCCCCGCCCGACCCTTGACTCCTATCGAAATCCGTCAGTTCCACTTCCTCGGCGTCGGCGGAAATGAGGGGATCCTCGGCGCGGCTCGGAAGCAGACACTCCAGCTCCTGGAAGAGTGATGAGTGATCGTTATCAGTGTTGGTGCTTTTACAACGGGTCTGACTAACGTGACTCACGTTCAGCTTTTCGGTGCTAATCCAGTTGTTCTCAGGGAACTGCACGTCAAACTTGATGTAGAGGTCTCCCTTCTCAAAGGGGTTTCTGTACTGTGGCATTCCCTCTCCCTTAACCACACGAATGCAGCCTGAAGAGACAGCGAAAGATAGAGCAAAACAAGACTGTTAGTGTACTAGCGCACACACACACACACACACACACACACACACACACACACACACACACACACACACACACAAAACTCTTCCATCTGTTGTCGACATATGTTGTGAACCATCGAGTATGTGTCACTTATCCGGAACTAATGTTAATCTGCGGACCCCAAAATATTGATGCAGCTGTGCAATTAAAATCAATCAATCAATCAATCAATCAGGGAGTAGCTCTGAACTTGGAAGTTGAGGCAATCTCAGGTTCCGGAGTACTGGTAATTAGGTATGTGTACCTGGCTCTATGACCTTTCCGGGTGGGTACTTGACAAGCAGCTGCCGTCCATCCAGATGCGAGAGAGTCATCTGAAAGCCACACAGAGCCTCGACCAGGCCAATGCGCTGCACCATGCGAAGGTCATTGCCTTCCCGGCGAAATTCCTGAGATGGAGAATAAAATAAATAAAATCTGAGCCTCGACTCAAATGATGACCTCATAAATGTATCATGTAAGTGTTAATCTTTTCCTACGTCATGTTCTTTCTCCTGTAGGACCAGGACAATGTCCCCAGGTTCCACACCCGGCGCTTGGTCAGCTTCCCCAGTGAAGGTGATCTTCTGTCCATGTCTCATGCCTTTGTCCACGTGCACCTCTAGCAGCTTTGTTTCCTTACTCACCTTATGACCTTCGCACTTTTTACAGCGATCTTTCTCGCTGATGACCTCGCCTGCACAAACACAACAAGCGGACCAATATTTGGGATGATTAGTTCTTGATCCCCCACATGAAAGTGTGTGAATTGCTTGCAGTCACATTACCCTCTCCTTTGCAGTCTGTACAGACTGACTGCACCTGTTGGACCATACCAGGGGCCAGTTGTCTAATCACCACCCTCATACCTAGTCCTCTGCATGCCACACACTTTTGCACTGCGCCCGCCTTGCCCCCCTGACTGGATAGCAAATGGCAGAATGTCAGCACTGTCCGTGTACTTTTGTCTTCCTGTAACAGTAAAAAACCCTCAAAAAAGACTCACCCATTGCAGGTACCACAAAGGACATTCTTGCTCAGCTGGAGTTTGGTAGTTTTACCATTGTAGAGGTCTTCAAGTGAAACTCTATGGCGGGGGAGAAAAAAACACTCATTAGTATGCAATATAATGTCATTCACATTTGGGAAAATGGCAGATCTTAGACCAGCTTCCAAGTCATGGGTAGAGAAACTGTGCGGGTGCATGGATGGGGTACGGGGGTGTTGGAATTGTGTAAATTAGACGCCCAGGTTGTCCACATCCCAACAAATTCATGGCTCTCTAAAACATATTTTAGGAAATAAGACTCCTCACATAACATTTATGTGATTGTGTAATTTCATACTTGATGTGTGCACTGGCACTGCAGAGACCCAACTATTTTATATACAAGCAATTAAAAAGTCATTTTTTCATAATGTGTCCCTTTTTAAAGGTCTCAATTACTTCAGAGGGTGCACCATGTCTTCGCCTCGCCTCCGTCCTCCATTGCGTCCTCTGCCCTGTCCCCCCATGAACCCGAAGAGTCCTCCACCGAAAATGTGAGAGAAGATATCGTCCATGCCAGGCCCGCCACCTCCGCCCTCTCGTAGCCCTTGTTCTCCATAGCGGTCGTAAAGCTCTTTCTTCTCCGGGGTTGTCAGTACTTCATATGCAAAACTGATTTCTTTAAACTGGGTGACATAATGAAACACACACACATTTTTGTTAGTTGCCATGTCAGAGCTTTAGCGACACACAAAAACCTAATATGAAACTTTAATCCTTTAATTTAAAAACAAAACAAAGCCTATTATTTTGAATGTCAAATAGGACAAAAGAATATGTAATGTGCTACCAAAAGATAAAATGATTTTTTGCAGAGCTGTTTCTTCCAGTGGGTATTAAGTCTCTGTTCTGTTAATTTTACTCCCATTTTTTAGTATAAAAAGAAAAGCGACCAACACAAATATTATATTGGTTTTATTCCTATCGCAGACAGCTGTTTCTTAAAGTTATTAAGTATGGATACTTGTTCCTTCAGAGTCCATGAAATTAAATGTGGGGTTCCCCGAGGTTCAATTTTAGGCCCAATACCTTTTAATCTTTACATGTTTCCGATCCCACGCTGCCAGCACACAAGTCAGGCGACTGTACCACTACACAATCAATACATTTACAGCAGAATGTACACCGTAAAATGAGCTAACAACGTTTTACTATACAACATCTAATGCGCATTTACACTTCTATGAGTTAAGAATGTGTAAACCATAATGAATGACGATACAGTACAGTATTTGCTACAGTTCCCTATACATGAGCCCTGTGGGTAAGCGAGCATTTTTGTTGTTGTAATTATACAACATACAGTGACCTTTTTTCCCTCACTTGGATGGCAGTTTTGAATTTTAAAATGTTACATACAACATTGTCCAGACAGTTGAATGCCTACACATCTTAAAACATAAAACTTGCAGTTCTCTTATTTCAAATGGGATTCATATGTAGCCCATCAAAGTGGTTGGTGCCCCAACATTTTTTTCTTTCATATAAAACCACCACTAAGTGTTTCATACCTTGTCTCCAGCATCCGGGTTCTTGTCTGGATGGTACTCTTTAGCCAATTTGCGGTAGGCCTGTAAAACAAGGTTGACACAGAAGTTGCTAACAGCCTACAAGAAAGAACTAACCAGAGCACTGATCTCAGTCAGCTACCAGCTATGTTTCTAAAAGGTTGAAGGCATCAAGTCATGGGATGCTGTCAAAAACATCAGGGAACCAGCAGGAGCATTGCTGCCTTTGACACCTCCAGCCATCTTGAAATTTCATTTCATGCGCTTAACTTGCTCAATAAACTACTCTTCTGATAGTACGACATCAAAACAGTACAATATCTTTTTTGATATTGTGAAATAATCAACTGATTCATGGCAGTTAAGAATCTACAATGTCACGATTAGAACATCAGGCGGTATGACCGGCTTAATTTTACATGAACTTTCTTTACTTTAAAGAAAAAAACTGAATTCCTTCAATTTTCTAAGACAATTCCAATAGATGTGAGATACATGACATTAGGGCATCGAGTTAAAAGATTATTAAACAATAATCGTTACCATACATTCACATTGGGATTATTTAAGATAAATCGAAATTTCCCCGCACGAAGCAAGGGAACGCGATCGACACAAAATGTGGGGGCACAAAGCAATGCCCGTTGTATTACTGTATTCAATTTTGACTTCGTTTACATGACTACATGGCGACGACTATTTCCTGAAATGTATCGTCTAATATCCGGTGAGCTACGACACTCGTGGTCACTTGAGTTTCCTTTTAACGTTCGGCAGACACATTTTTTTTCAGTGTCTAAATGTGACATATTCCCTAGATAACAAGCAGGAATGTATCCCACCGTCACCGTTGGTGAAGCCGTGCAGTTTGCTTCAGTTTTTCTCATTTAGTCGACAAGCCATTTAGAGTTAGCCACCGAGCTCATGTTGGGTAAGCAGCTTCTAGTCTAGGCCCATTTTACAGGTGTCCCACATCGCTAGTTCACCATTGTCACTTTGCAATGTCCTCACCTTTTTCAGTTCATTTTCGGAGGCCGACGGTGAGACGCCGAGGATGTCGTAGAGCTTCGTGTCCGCGACTTTCGACATGATGCTTGGGAGCCGGCTACCTCCTACGGACGTTCAAATGAGTGAGGAAGAAAACAAGCTAAGCCGGCTGGGATCGTCCCGGGTTGCCAGATTCGCACACAAAGTCCCCCGTCTGACGTAGACGCCCCCAAACCAGAGCAGTCGCATTTCTAGGGGGCGGGCGGAGGGGGCTTCTAGAACTTCACACGGGGCCATTATCAGGTTTTATTATTAGCCTTACGTACCATGACGCTCTTTGTGACGCTCGAATGCAGAGACCAATTGTGTTTGTATGAAGACCTATATACACTACTGGTGGGCAGGCCGCTTTTGATTTTGAAAATGGTCACATTGGCCTGTTCATTTGTAGAAAAGGTAAATATTAAAACATAAATAAAAACCTCTAGATCACGACAACCTGATCTCAAGTTTTCTCCCCCCCCCCCATTTTTTTGACCATTTCGATTTTCTATAGCGCTTATTCTTATTCGACTGGCAGGTGAGCCTCTGGCGATCCCCAACATCGCAAGGCAAAATGTTCACATAGTCACACAAGCTTTCAGCTCACATTTACCCCTTGGTGCAATTTAGAGAATTTTAATTAACCTAACATGCATGTTTTGGAATGTGGGAAGAAGCTGGCGTAGGCCTATCTTACAAAGAAGGGATGACGCTATACCGGGGGTAGGGGATGCTGTAGCCTCGTCAGAAATTTGTGTTGCCCCACTTAAGACCTGCAGCAATTTATTTGATATTTATATTTGTTAATTATTTTCTCAACCCACGTATGTATTGGTCAAGTCTCCCTTTATTTATTTATTGATTGAGATAATCCTGAAGCAGTAGGTGCTTGCTGGACAACACATGACGACAAACAGGAGTTCACACTAACATTCAAACCTATGGCCAATTTAGTCTTCAAAAAAGTGACTTTCTGGCAATAAAAGGAGGGCACCCCTGGGCCACCCAATTGCAGGGCACATAAAAAATAAACTACCACCCACACCTAGATTGATACCTATGGGCAAATTGGAGTCTTTCATTAATGTAAAGTGACTTTGTCAACTCGAAGTCATCCACTTGACCACGCCCCTAAAGACGTACACCCAACATAACTACTGTACTTCAATTTATAAAACTAGCATAGAGAACATAAAGGATAGATAGACAGATAGATGTCAAACTCAAGTACCTGGGGGGCTTGCTAAAATGTTGCAAACTTTTAAATTCTCATATGTAATAAAATATATTGTGAGCATGTAAGCATCGTTACCAACTCCCTCATCACTGTCACTTAAACTATAATTGAATAAACCATTATTCTTGACTTCTTTATATGGCTTGACGATCATAACGCCCTGCCAAGGGAAACGGTGACTATAATGTGGCCCACGACAAAAAAAAAAAAAAACTGGTCCGTGGAGCTCCACTTTTATTTTGCACGTGCCCCTAAACTCTTCGGCTGAAATTGTGAAAATTGAATGACACTCCCTAAGGTCATCACCACAGTATCTATAGAAACCAAGTGGAATAATCACGGCTTGGCGTTGTGAAATATTTCGGTCCGAACCTATCTGTAATTTTCCTTGTGTTGAAGTGAATTATCACGCGACACCGTAGTTGTTGTTATTTTACGTCCTCTTGACTATCTCTAACTGCTGACAGCGTCCCCTGCACGTCGTCAAAATGTCACCAGGCTGATGGTTGCACGGCTTGACGGACAGCCGAATTTATGGACTACGTTTTATCTTCTCCGCCATTTTGATCGGTGACACCGCCGGTCGTCGTCGCCCGCCCGTTGAAGTTAATTTCGGCCTGTGTCGGTGCGGTCCACAGCGTCTCCAAGACTAGCGCGCACACGGCAAATGGATGGTGACCGGAGGACACTGCAAGCGTGAAGCTAACATACGCCACAATTGGAATAGAAGAGCCCCGCTATGGGCCGCTACGGGTGACCTCACAGCCCAATCTTACATGATGACCGAGGACAATGCCGACTGAAAGGTAAGCCTCGTTTGCCATATAAAAAAAACAAATTCACATATATCTATTTTTAAAGAAAGTCAAGTGGAAATTGGTGACGCAGAGCCCGAGGAGGCTGACCGAGGAGGTCAGCTAGCTAGCTCGTCACATATAGCACCGCTTCTTAAATAGCTTCAGGATATAATATGTAAAACATTTATCTTTCCTTGACTGTCACGGTATGAGATGAACGCTTCGGTCGCTAGTGGAAACTCTCTGGGGAATGTGTTGTCAACGGAAGAAAAACAAACTTAACGCGCAGTGTATTAAATCAATGGCAATTAAAAATTTGCTGTCATGGGTGTTATGGGTGCGTTACATGATGAGTGACGCTCTTTTTCATCAAGTCGGCTCTAGCGACTTTTGCCAACATTTTTTTACAATTAAGGACTGTATAACATCTTTATATTTTGATCAAGCATTGTATCACGAAACAGTCAATACTTAACACTCTTAAACTACTGTCTCGCCTGATGACTTTACATTGGTGGAGCTAGACACATATTTTACAGGAGAGAAATCACGCCATAGGTTGCTCGGACCAACCTTTACAAAAATTTTTTACCCATAATCCTTGACGGCAGAAATATTGAATCAACAGGCAACTGATAAAGTCTACTTGATGGTCAGCAAAGAGACTTGAGTGTAAGAAGCAGAGAAGATAAACAAACAAAAAAAAAGAAATAACTAGTAGTGATGGGAATCTGAAGCCTCATGACGCAATGAGGCTTTCCATCCAACTGGGTCGGTCCTGGGCCGATGCATCATGAGGCTCCATTTGCTCTATTGCGCCATCATGTGGAAAATAAATGTCATGACAGTGATTAAAATACCATGGATTTGATGGAGTCAAAAGGGCAGGGAGTTGTGATGTGAATGAATGTGCGTGTGTTACTTGAAAGAATGATTGCTTTATTTTAGACATTGACATAAACAAGGAACAAGATACACCTTTCATTCATTTTTATTGAGGAAAACAAGCATTTCCAAAGTGTTTGGCTTTAAACGGTTTCTTTTCTTCGATAGGATTTCTCCTGCTTTTGAAAATAGTCTTTCACAATGGACGGATGAGGCTGGGGTACAGAGAAAGGTTATAGCTAATTTGTAGAGGTTGTACACTCGTTGCAACATGTGGAAGGTGCTGTTCCAGCGTGTCTCCACCTGAAAATAAAAGGTCATTATTGTTTGAAAGGGGAGTGGAAGCAGTTATGGATGTCAACTTACCTCTTGAATGAGCTTCAGCACAGGCTCTGTAGGCATCATTTGCTCCTGCACCTGTGTCAGCCTTGTCTATAAAAATTAAATATGAAACAAAACATTTTCCAAGTCATTTTGCATTAATTTGAATACTGCTGTGTAATAAAGGAATTCACCTTTGCAGTGGTACTGCTTTTGAAGTAGCCAACTATCCTCCTACACTGAAGACGGATC